GTTGCCAGGGTTGAGAAACACTGATTTAGATTCTCCATTTAGATTTTTTCATGGGCCAGAGCTGGTAGTGACTGCATCCAAGAGGCATCCTGCCCTGGTATCTCTCAAGTCACAGTTCAAGACTAACGATCAGCTCCAAAAATATTCCTGGCTTAGCTTTAAATTGCAACGTGCAAGTTCACAAGGGTTCGTTTGGCTGCTCTTGCTCTTGCTCTTGCTCTTGCTCCTGCTGCTGCAAACTGCCTGGCCCCCTTCCACCGCCCTGACAGATACCTCATCTAGCTGTCACCGAGCTTGACTCTTAGGTGGTAGGGATCGGAGGAAAGAAAGGCCGGGAGTTCTGGAAGGTCCAGGATCCCTGTGTTGCGCTGAGTCTCTTCCCCACACCGTGCGTTGACTATCAGAAGATGCATGTAGATGTTATGGGACAAACAGAAATGCAAGCTGAGCATGACGCTTGTAACACGCAAAGAGAAACTTCTTGGCTTGGTGCACACAACGCCTTTAACCCGATTAGGTAGAGACCTAGAGACTACGTGCATACAACATGCTACGGTTCATTATGCAAGCTGCATAGCGTCTTGCACGAATTCAGCCTGTTTGGTTTGCTTTTGGGTGAGGGTCTTGCGAGAAGCCCCCAAATGGATTCATTCAGGAATCTGGTTAAAGGTACTGTGCAAATGTAGCCAGAGAGCGGTATGGGTGGAGTTTCCTTAGTTGCAAGTTACGATTTTTCATTGCTGGCAAGGTTCTTTGGGACGTTGGAGTCCCTGAATTCTGCTTTGTAGGTCCTTTGTGTGTTTGGCACAAGAGATTCTGCTGTTCCACCTTCGCAGGGTCCCCCTGGGGGCTCACGAACAAGAACCATGGAAGAGCTTTCGGCAACCTGGCACTCTCTAGATAGGAGGGCTGCAGCTTCCCAATTTGGACAATCTGGCTGCATACGCTCATACCCTCAGTGAGCATCAGGCGGAAGAAGGTGGTTTGCCGCAAGAGCTGAGCTCATCCACAGAGATGCAGTAGAGTAATCAATCTTTCAAGCAGACTTTCACGGAGGCTGGACTCCTTGGCTTGGTTTACCTTTCCTTGTTTCTCTGTTTTTAGTGGAGAGGCCAGTCAGGGTGTATGCCGATGGAATTTTTGACCTTTTCCACTCTGGACACGCCCGGGCTCTCATGCAGGCCAAAAACCTGTTCCCCAATACATACCTCATTGTGGGAGGTAAGAAGAAGCCCTTTAATTCGGACCGTGTTGGGGCAGGGGGATGGAGGAACATCTTCCCCTCACCAAGAGGGCTGCCTTGTGGCCCACGAAAAGGAGATATTGGGTAGAAAGGCTTAATTGGAGCAGGGGATGTTGCAATTATTTCAGTAAGAATTAATTATTTCCAAAAGAAGATCTGAAAGCCGTCTGCTCCCCAGCCAGGACCGAAGCGAACTTGCTTTAACCAGCAGCTCATCTGAAATATTTAGGGCAGAAAGAGGAGGGTGCTAAAATGTGCCCTCTTACAAGTTCAGGGTTATTCCAGTGTCCCTGTTAAGAGACAGCTACAGTGAGGTAGTGGTGAACGTGTTGGTTTAGGAGCAGGGAGACCCAGGTTCTAGTCCTCCCCTTCAGCAGCAGAACCTCCCTGGGGTGACTTTGGCAGCTCACGCTCTCTCAGCCCAGCCTACCTGGCAGGGTTGTTGCCGTGGGGAAAAATGGGAGGGCAGAGCACTATGTATGAGCTCCTGAATGAAAGGCAGGATATAAATCTAAAATGTGAGCCAGGCATAACTCCCAGTTTGGTCGTCACGGCGAGTGGGCCAAAAGTTCTTGTGAAAGAGGTCAAGAAGTAAGAAGGAAAAGGCTCTGCAGAGGTCTTCAGTGGGTGCTCTAAGGGCAGGGGGCCGACATGAAGGGAAGAGAGCTTTGGACTGAGTGGGCTTCTAACCGGTCCTTTGCTGGCTTGCAGTCTGCAGCGACGAGCTGACACACAACTTCAAGGGCTTCACGGTGATGAACGAGGCTGAACGCTACGACGCTGTGCAGCACTGCCGCTACGTGGACGAGGTGGTCAGGAACGCCCCGTGGACACTCACCCCGGAGTTCTTGGCTGAGCACAGGGTAACGGAGGATGCTCTCTGGGACAGCAGTTCTCGCACTTCCTTGAAGGGGAAAGATTTAGGGTAGTGTTTCTCAACCTTGGCCGCTTTAAGATGGGTGGACTTCAACTTCCAAAATACCCCAGCCAGCCA